TCAGTCCTTAGTGTTGCTTTGGTCTCTATTGGAAGGTTGACCATTTGATAGTTGAGAAAAGAAGACATGTTGGGGGATGTGGTTTTTGGGCAGCTGAATGGAATGTTGAGTCAATCGTTTCTGATTTTGTAGGAATTTTGAGTGAATGCTTGTGGGACTGGTTCCAAGGAGGATACAAGCAATTTTTTAGGCTGTCCTCACATGATTCCAGAGGGTGTAGTGGAGACATTGCTAGTGGAATTTCCCTGCATCAGTGCCACAGTCCAGGTTGTACTGTCTTATAGTCAATGGTGACAACTGACATAACCATGACTAAGGTTCTCTTAAGCCTATGCTGTTGCCTTTATGTGTTACAAGTGGCAGCCTCCTAATTTTAATGTTGAAAGCGTGGTTCAAAGGTCATTGAAACATATAATTTTTCTGGTGACTGGCAATTAACCCAAAGTCATATATTCAAAATCATTGATTTTAAAAAACAAAGACATTGTTAGTCCAATGAAATGTGAAAGAGGATGCAAATCCTGAATAGATCCACGTTTCATAAGACCATAAGATATAGGAGCAGAATTAGGCCATTTGGCCCAAGGAGCTTGCCCTGTCATTTGATCACAGCTGATAGGCTTTTCAATATCATTCTCCTGCTTTCTCCCCATAACCCTTGATAACCCTTACTAATCAAGATCTCCTCTATCTCAGTTTTAAATATACTTAGTGACTTTGCCACAGACGGCTGTGGTGGCTATAAGTTCCACAGGTTCAGCTCTGTCTGGCTGAAGAGATTCCCCCTCATTTGGGCTGTGCCCTCAGCACCTAGTCTCTCCTACTAGTGGAAGCATCTTCCCCACATCCACTCTATCCAGGCCTCTCGGTGTTATGTAAGCTTAACCTTCTCGTTCGTCTGAATTCTAAAAACCCAGAATCCTCAACTGTTCCTCATGTGACAAAGTCTTTTATTCCCAGGATCATTCTTGTAAACCTCATCTGGACCCCCTCCAACACCAGCACACCCTAGATACTCAGCCAAAAACAATATTCCAAATGTGGTCTGACCAGTGTCTTACACAGCCTCTGCAGTACATCCCTGTTTTTGTAACCTAGCCCTCTCAAAATGAATGCCAACATTGCATTTGCCTTCCTAACTGCCAACTGAAGCTGTATGCTAACTTTAAGAGAATCCTGAACAAGGACTCCCCAGTCCTGATGTGCTCCAAATTTCTGAAGCCTTTTACTGTTTAGGAAATAGGCTACGCCTCTGTTCTTCCTACCAAAGTGCATAATTTCACACTTTCTCACATTGTGTTCTATCTACCACTTCACCTACTCTCCTAGCCTTCTGCAGTCTCCCTGCTTCCTCAGCTCTACCCGTTCCCTCCACCTAGCTTTGTGTCATCTTTGTGCAAACTAAGCAACAATGCTTCAGTTCATTCGTCTAGATCATTAATGAATAATGTGAATAGCTGTGGCCCAACATTGACCCCTGCAGAACTCCACTGGGCATCGGCTGCTATTCTGAAAAAGACCCTTTTATCCCCATTCTCTGCCTTCTGCCAGTCAGCTAAACATCTATCAGTGCCAGTATCTTGCCCCTAACACCACAGGCTCTCTTCTTATATAGTATCTCCTGTGCAGCACCTTGCCAAAGGCCTTCTGGAAACCCAATATATCATGTCCGTCGGCTCTCCTTTGTCTAACTTCTCATTACCTCCTCAAAAAATTCGAACAGATTTGTTAGGCATGATACCTCATTGACAAAGTTGTGCTGTCTCAGCCATATTTTATCATGCACTTCCAAGTACTCTGCAATCTCATGCTTAATAATGGACTCTAAAATCTTACCAATGACCGAGGTCAGGCTAACAGGCCTCTAATTTCCCATATTCTGCCTTCCTCCCTTCTTAAACACGAGGTGGTACATTGTCCATTTTCCAGACCCTCTCTGACTCCAGTAATTCCTGAAAGATCACCATCAATGCCCCCACAATCTCCTCAGCTATCTCCTTCAGAATCCTGGGACATAGTCCACCTGGTCTGGGTGATTCTTCCACCTTCAGACATTTCAGCTTCCCTAGAACTTTCTCTTACCACTGTCATAGAGTCCTACAGCACGCAGACAGGCTCTTCGGCCCCAATGGGTCCATGCTGACCACAATGTCCCTCTGTTAACCCCATTTCCCTGCACTTGTCACATATCCTTCTAAACCTTTCCTATCCATGTATTCATACAAATGCCTTTTAAATGTTGTTAATAAAGAAACAGTTGGAGACAATGGACACTGTAAAGACTACCGGCCCTGACAACATTCCGGCAATAGTACTGAAGACTTGTGCTCTAGAACTTGCCTCTCCCTTAGCAAAGCTGTTCCAGTACAGTTACAATACTGGTATCTACCCAATAATGTGGAAAATTGCCCAAGTATGTTCTGTACACAAAAAGCAGGATGAATCCAACCCGGCCAATTACCGCCCCGTCAGTCTCCTTTCCATCATCAGTAAAGTGATGGAAGGTGTCACCAACAGTGCTATCAAGCAGCACCTGCTCAGCAATAACCTGCTCAGTGACGCCCAGTTTGGGTTCTGCCAGGGCCACTCAGCTCCTGACCTCATTACAGTCTTGGTTCAAACATGGACAAAAGAGGTGAATTCCAGAGGTGAGGTGAGAGTGACAGCCCTTGATATCAAGCCTGTATTCGACCGAGTGTGGCATCAAGGAGCCCGAGCAAAACTGGAATCAATGGGTATCAGGGAGCAAACGCTCCGGTAGTTGGAGTCATACCTGACACATAGGAAGATGGTCGTGGTTGTAGGAGGTCAATCATCTCAGCTCCAGGACATCTCTGCAGGAGTTCCTCAGGGTGGTGTCCTAGGTCCAACCATCTTCAGCTGCTTCATCAATGACCTTCCCCCCATCATAAGGTCAGAAGTAAGGATGTTCGCTGATGATTGCACAATGTTCGGCACCATTCATGACTCCTCAGATACTGAAGCAGTCCATGTTCACAAGTAACAAGATCTGGACAATATCCAGGCTTGGGCTGACAAGTGGCAAGTGACATTCACACCACACAAATGCCAGGCTATGACCATCACCAATAAGAGACAATCTAACCACCACCCTTTGACATTCAATGGTGTTACCATCACTGAATCCCCCACTATCAACATCCTGGGGTTTACCATTGACCAGAAACTCAACTGGGCTCACCACATTAACAGAGTGGCTACAAGAGCAGGCCAGAAGCTGGGAATACTGCGGCAAGTAACTGACATCCTGACTCCTCAAAGCCTGTCCACCATCTACAAGGCACAAGTCAGGAGTGTGATGGAATACTCCCCACTTGCCTGGATCAGTGCAGCCCCAACAACACTCAAGAAGCTTGACACCATCCATGACAAACCAGCTCACTTGATTGGCACTACATCCACAAGCATTCACTCCCTCAACCACCGACACTTAGTAGCAGCCATGTGTACCATTGACAAGACGCACTGCAGAAATTCAACAAAGATCCTCAGATAGCATCTTCCAAACCCACGACCACTTCCATCTAGAAGGACAAGGGTAGCAGATATATGGGAACACCACCACCTCCAAGTTCCCCTCCAAGTCACTCACCATTCTGACTTGGAAATGTATTGCCATTTCTTCACTGTTGCTGCGTCAAAATCCTGGAATTCCCTCCCTAATAGCATTGTGAGTCAACCCAAAGCAGGAGGAATGCAGCAGTTCAAGAAGGCAGCTCACCACCACCTTCTCAAGGGCAGCTAGGGATGGGCAAGAAATGCTGGCCAGCAGCGACGCCCACATCCCACAAAATAAATAGAAAAAAGTATAATGTACCCACCTCAACCACTTCTGCTGGCAGCTCATTTCCATATGCGTACCACCCTCTGTGTAAAATAGTTGCCCCAGGTTCCCATGTATTGTTTCCCCTCTTACATTAAACTGATGCCCTCTAGTCCTTGATTCCCCAACCCTGGGAAAAAGACTGAGTGCATTCACCCTATCCATGCCTCCCATGATCTTATACTTCTGTGAGATCCTCCTCCTCTCAGTTTCCTATGCTCTAAAGAAAAAAGTCCTAGCTTGTCCAACCTGTCCCTATAACTCAGTCCCTTGAGTCCTAGCAACATCCTTGTAAATTTCTTCTGCACTTTTTCCAGTTTAATAACATCCTTCCTATAGAAAGGTGACCAAACCTGAAACAATACTCCAAGTGCGGCCTCACCAACATCCTGTACAACTGCAACATAACTTCCCAACTTATGTACCCAATGCCCTGACTGATGAAGGCCAGTGTGCCAAAAGCCTTCTTCACTGCTCTGTCTACCTGTGATTCCACTTTCAGAGAACTGTGCACCTGAACTCCAAAGTGCTTCTGTTTCACTACACTCCTTAAGGTCCTACTATTCACTATGAAACTCCTACCTTGATTTGACTTTCCAAAATGCAACACCTCACACTTTTCTATATTAAACTCCATTTGCCATTTCTCAGCCCCCTTCCCCAGCTGATTAAGATCCTGCTGCAATTTTGATAACCTTCTTCACTGTCCACGGTACTGCCTATTTTAGTGTGATCCGCAAACTTACTAATCATGCCTTGTACATTCTCATCCAAATCATTGATATAGATAACAAACAGCAATGGGCCCAGCACCAATCCTGAGGCATACCACTAGTCACAGGCCTCCAGTCCCCTGACTCTTCTGAAGTTCTGGTACGCTGCTGATGTCTTCTGTGAAAACTAATGTAAACTACCTACTCAGTTCCTCCACCATTTATTTGTTCCACATTACTACCTCTCCAGCCTCATTTTCCAGCAGTTCAATGCCCACTCTTGCCTCTCTTACCTTTTAGATATCTAAAAAATTCTTGCAATCTTTCATATTATGAGCTAGTTGACTCTCATCTTTCATCTTTTCCCTCCTTATTGCTTTTAGTTTTTCACATTATTAGCTTTATCACATTATATGACTAAAATAATACATTAAATATCTTACCTCCTATATCTGGTCTAAGTTTGTTGTCATATCCTTTCAATAAGTCATTCAGAATATTGGTGACATCACTTTCATGAACTCTTGGTGCCAGGACCCATGTTTTATTTAACACTGTATCTTCATAATCTTCATCATCTACTTTGTTTGCGCTAGATACACAAAAAATGCACATCAGAAACAGGGTTAAGAAGGGATAAAAGACAACTACAGCAGGAAATGACAGTGAGCCACAAATTCAGAGCAAAAATAGAGAACGCAATAATCTTCTTGCCATTGTTTACCTATGTAACACTCAATGTTTTTGTATTTCAATATATTTCTTGGCTGAATGTCATCACAAAAGTATTTGAAGAAATACCTTGAATCATAAAAATCCTTTCAAAAGGTTCAATGAAAGAACAATCTAATTAATCTCATTTTTTGATTTTCCCCCATAACCTAACAACTCAAGTACTCATGCAATCCTTTTTGAAAATTATCAAATATGCTTCCGCACTTTTGCAAAAAAAGGTGTACTCTTGATTATAACATCTCACAGCATTAGAAAATAACTCTTGTTTCTCCTTTTGTGCCAATTATCATAAATATAAAACTTTTAGCTCGTAATCCGTTAGCTAGTTTCTTCCCATTTTACGGTAGCTGTACAGAGCGATCGTGGGACCACATCTGAAATACTGTAGACAATTTTAGTCTCCATTTTTGAAACCAAAACACAACTTTTTCAGAAGCAATTGACAGAAAGTTCACGCATCTGATTCCCAGAATGAAGAGCTTGTATTATGAGAAAAGGGTGAACAGGTTAGGCCTGTGTCCATTTAGTTTAAACAAACGTTTAGAAGGCAAGTGCGGAGAAAACAACACAAACTAGACACAGGATGGTGGTGGGGTGAGAAGAATGTAATAAAAATGGAGGGCAGATGTCGTGGGGGTCAGGCTTTGGTGTTGTGGCATTCAATATTGAAACTTCATGGCTATAAAGTGCCGAAGTGGAAAATGATGTGTTGTTACATTGTGTTCGATGGAACAGCCGGCCTAAGACAGAAATGTCAGCTTGACAGCAGGTTTATTGAAATAGCAAGCAACTGCAAGGTCAGGGGCATTTCTATGGACAGAGGGGAGGTATTCTGCAAAGTGGTCACCCAATCTTAGTTGGGGAAAACGGTCACGTCAGAAGCACCCAAGTGGCAGGTGACATCACTGGAACAGATGCGACAGAGATAAAGAAACTGGAAAAATGGGAATAGAATCCTTGCAGGAAATGGGGCTGAGCAAGTGTAATCCAATTGATTTAGAAATATCTAGAAGTAAGGATTGCTGGTTGCAAATTACCCACCCACAGACTAGAAGTGTTTAGCGTCCTGAAGATAAAACACAAATCGGCAGTGCTGTGGCCTGAAAATACAAAGTCGGTGATGATTATGGTGACTTGCTGAAGAACTGTTATGGCCTGGCTCCTTCCAGCCTGGATACGGTAATATTTGTAGTATTTTACAGCTGGCCATTGGTTGTTAAGGGAGGTCACTAACGCACTCTTTTCTTTGAGAACTAATTACATTTCATTCTCCCTTGCCAGAGAGAAGCAAGGGAAGAGACAAGATGCTTTTCAACTTCAGCTGTGATTTATGCACGTGCACACAGCATGTATACAGTGGGAACCACGCTGACAACATAAAAGAGAGGGAAAATGGATGATGCAAAAACAATGATTTCACTACCTGAACAACAGTGCAGAAGTCAGGAAAGTGGCGATCAAGATTCATACTGGTTTGCTGCATACTGTACAATCTCACCCTTACAAAGCAACAGCACTTGCCATCAACTCCATAATGAACAAATTAGGGCTAAGACGACAAAGTCAGAAAACTTAAATGGTATCTGTCTGTCAGGACTATTGTAAAGAGATTATCAGAATACAACAAACACAATTACAATTCCTCACTCACCAACAGTCTCACACTATTGAGCTTTCATTGCCAGGCAGAAGCAAGTGTCAGGCATGCAGGAAGGTATGAAAATCTGTGCTGCTAGCCAGTGTACTCAATTGCCAATACCATCCAACCCTGATGTCTTTGGTGTGGCTAGTGGAAGGTGACTGATCTTCACTGACATGAGACTGGAGATGATCATGAAGATGATCTTAAGCAATTCTGAAAGTCCAAGCACAGAATGCATCATCATGGCATGGGCTACACAATGGCAGTGGTGGTACCATACAGGATCAGAAGAAAGAGGATTGTGAAGAGGCTCATACAACCCCTCATACATGCTCCACTGTATAATGTGAGCACAGCTCATTTACAACCTCATCTGTACTTTCCTGCTTAGTCCCCATATCATAGACTCCCATGGTTTCCAAGAACATATCACAATTTTGAATATATTCTATAACTGATCATTTACCGGTCATTTGCAGATCTCAGTGAAAATTCCAAAGATTCGCAAAGAGTGACAAAACTCTTCTTAATCAAACTTCTCAATGGCCATCTCTTTATTCCAAGATTAAATATTATTAGTTGTAGGCCCTCTAAGCACAGATACAGTCCCTGAATCAACACAGTCGTGTTATACATTATAAGGAGATCATGTATCAAAATTTCTGGAAGATATGGGACTATTCTAATCTTCCTTTATAGGGCAGCCCTCTCATCCAAAGCATCTATTTAACAGTTATAACACCCCCTCTAAAGGCAAGTGTGTACTTACTTTGCTACGAAAACCAAAACTGATTCAATACAGAATCACAGAAGTGTTACAGTCTTTCATCTGATCATGTCTGTATTGGCTCTTTAAATGAGCCGCATTACCTAACTTTTCCCCCATAGCCTCACACATTGTTTTTATCCAAACAATCATCCAATGTCCTCCTGATTGCCTCAATTGAATCTACATTCATGACATACCATAACTACTCACTGTGTGAAAATGCTTCCCTTCACATTAGATTTGCTCCTTTTGAAACTTACTCACAATGTATGCCCTCTTATTCCTTTAACAAGCAGGAACAGTAATGGTCTCACAGAAGATCTGTGCGATTGGAGCAAGAACCATTACTCTTTGATGACTGGGAAAGAATGGGAAAAAAATCAACATCACAGAGGTGGTAAGACTGAAAGTTTGAAATTTCCTCTCAAACAGGGCTCCGAATAGCTGGAAGGTGATTGGTTTACATCTTGGTTGAGAGCCCACATGCCCAGCCTGTGATGGTCAACATTGACTAGACTAGGGGGAAATCTGTAACTTGTGCCTTAGTATTTTCAGTGTCTCAGGCAGGTTTTGGAAATCTTTGGAAAACCAAATCAAGAGCGGGAGAGAGAGGATAGAGGGGGAAGAGACTGATAACAGAACTCTATCCTGCAAAGTTAAGTTGATTATTAAATTCACCTGCATTGTGGATGCATTCATGGGCATTACAGTGCTTGAGAACTCTAGTGTAATGACCTGAAGTAACATAATGTGTACAGCACTGAAATATAGGAAACAAGTCTGCAACAATTGGTGTACAAAGCAGTTACTATCTGTAAGATTTAGCTGCCATCATGAGTAAAATTTCATCCATCAACATATCAGGGTCTGTTGCTGGGAGGTGCTAACCAGTATTCCAGTTTGGTGCAATTCAGTGTTAAGTCTATGGGTTAAGTCTAAGTTCTTAGGACCAAAGGGATCAAAAGGATACAAGTCAAAAGCAGGAAGAGAGTACTTGGTAGTATATCAACCATGATCGTACTGACTGGTAGAGCAGGCTTGAAGGGCTGAATGGCCTACCCCTGTACCTATTTTAGGTTTCTGACTAACAGTAAATGTATATTCACTCTTAAGTCAAAACTGAGGTCTTAATAAGGACTGTCATGCAACTCTGGTGTAACATAACTGGCTATTAAGTACAATGCAGTAAATTTTGTCGGTTCATCGAGACTGAGCCTCACTTCTACTGTAGACTTCTTTTGGGCATCGTATTATCAGTTGTTATCAGTAACAGACTAATTATGAATAAAAAAATACTGCAGTCAATCTACCTAAGGTATCTCAGACCCTTCTGATGGACATGATCATAACAGATACCATGCTCGGAGAGCCAGTTTCCAAAAATATATCACAGTGATAGCAGTATGGCTTTCACCACATGTATGATGGAGACAGCTGGTAGGCATCATTGGTTCATATAATATGCTAAATGTGATCTTTTGAAGAAATTTTCAGCTCTACAAAAACTATAACCATCCAAGAACAAGAAGAAGAAAGAAGAGGGATTCCAGCCAGAAAACTGTGCATCATTAAATATTCAGCAGCATGATAGCTCACAAAGCCAGTCAGTTTCTGTGAATGTAGCAGCGAGTAGTTAAAAATATTGCATAAGCCTCCTGGTAGAAGCTCAAAGAAGCCAGGAATTGTTAGGACTACCGAATAAGCTTGTGCAGACCCTGGAGAGTCTTACAAAAGCTACAAGGAGAAAATTATGAATCTTAAATCTAGGATAAAGTAATCAATACTGAAATAAATAAAATTCATCAGTCGAAGTGTAAAAATTCTTAATAATAAGCATTTTTCCTTACGTGCAAAGAAACAATCAAGATTGAAAAATAAAAAAAGAAAGCTTAACTCACTATATTTAGTAAACAGGCATTGTACTCGGTTAAAATTGTTGGAAAAAGCTGGTGAACAAAAGTTTAGCAGTAAACATTTGATCATTAAGAAAATCATTAAATCAGTGGTAAAATTTAACTAAAAACCGAAAGAACTGCAGATGCTGTAAATCAGGAACAAAAACAGAGTTGCTATAAAAGCTCAGCAGGTCTTGGCAGCATCTGCGAAGGAAAAAACAGAGTTAACGTTTCGGATCCAGTGATCCTTCCTCAGAACGTTGTGTTCTGAGGAAGGATCACTGGACCCGAAATGTTAACTCTGTTTTTAACTTCGCAGATGCTGCCAAGACCTGCTGAGCTTTAACAGTAACTCTGTTTTTGTTCCTGGTAAAATTTAACTAATTAGGTCAGAAAATCAAAGGCGTAAGAAACACTTATTAAAAATCACCATTTTGAATCAAAAACAATTTTTTTGTTCTATAACGATGGAAAATCTTGGAAGCAGAAAAGCAGAAAAACAGTACAATGCCATTGGGCAGCTAGTATTGTGGTCAAGGTTCAGGAAGTACTAAGAGTTGTGAGGGACTCAAAAAAAGTCTTTATACAATTATGAGTTCATTACAGCTTACAATTGGGTTTTAAAAACCCATAAGCAGTCCTCACCGGATTCAATTGTGTATAGTTTAAGGACAGTAAAATCCATGAATAGTACTGGATTGGTGAAGCTCACTGTTTGTAAAAAGCTGATGTGCCTGTGAGGGAGTAAAGTTTCCAGAGTACAGGGGAACATAGACCTAGGAAAGGAAGGCAAGTGACCAGAGCAAGCAGAATCATTCATGTAGTCCATGACAGAGTGGCTCGAGAGAACGTATCAAAGCCAGATCAGCAATTGAGAAGAACTGTGTTTCTGTTGTGAAGTTTAATGTAATTAACCAAGCGACATTAACATTTGGCATAAATTGTTGAGAGAATTCCATCTTGCATCCATTTGTTACTTAGTGTGCACTGTAGGGTGCTCAAGTCATAGCTTAGTTTATTACCTATATTTATCAAATATTATTCCTGGGTGTTACGGATTTTATTACTATTCTAACATTGCATAGTAAAGTTTATTGGTGTTTGTTTGAAACCGTGGAATTTATGACTTTTGTTTTCTTTGCAATTTCTCTGAATCTCACACTTTTTCTCATTTAAAATTTAAAGTCACTGTCTCTAGCCAGATCATAACCTAAATGTGAATCAGAGATAGTAGGAACTGCAGATGCTGGAGAATCCGAGACAACAAGGTGCAGGGCTGGATGAACACAGCAGGCCAAGCAGCATCATAGGAGCAGAGAGGCTGACGTTTCGGGCCTAGACCCTTCATCAGAAAAGGGACCCTGCACCTTGTTGTCTCATAACCTAAATGTGTTTGTCTTGTCACGATCTTGTCTTGATCATGAAGCCATTAGCACATGAAACAGGTATATATCAAAAACAAAGACTTCTCATTTCTGAGGAGAAACATGCTTTCTTCTTAAAATTCTACAGAATGTTGAAGAACCTCCATCATTTAATCCGCTAAATACCTAACTCCACTCAATAACTGGTACACGGCATGGGTGCCAGAAGAATGAGTGCTGCATCAAGGAGGAAATACATATCATTCAATTTCAATTATGCTAAAATACAACTCTTCAAGATGGAGATCAGAATATAGCATTGATTTTACATGTTTGCAGAAATTACTCAATCGTCTTCCAACCAGAAAACAAAACTACTAAAACTGATCATCAGACATTCTTGACAACACAACCACTGGGAGTAAGCCATAAGTAGGCTTTTAATACATTTGTTTCGAATTTGCAGTCCTAAAACAGCAGTCACATACCACCCCACCAACCTCCACATCCAACGTATCATCCTCTGCCACTTCCGCCACCTACAATCCGACCCCACAGCCAAAGAGATATTTCCCTCCCCACCCCTATGTGCCTTCCGTAGGAACCACTCACTCTGCGACATCCTCGTCCGCCCCACACTCCCTACCAACCCCACCACATCCGGCACCTTTCCCTGAGACCGTAGGAGGTGCTATACATGCCCCCACACCTCGCCCTCTCACCTCCGTCCAAGGCCCCAGGCAATCTTTCCAAATCCAACAGGGATTCACCTATACATCCTCCAACCTGGTCTATCGTATCCATTGCTCCCAATGTGACCAAGCACAGACTCAGTGACCGATTCGTAGAGCATCCGCGCTGTACGCTATAATCAACACTACCTTACAGTCACCAACCATTTTAACTTCTCCTCCACTCCCTTGATGACATGTCCATCCTGGGCCACCTCCAGTGTCGCAATGACACCACCCACAAACTGGAGGAGCAGCATTTCATATTCCGCCTCGGGAGCCCACAGCCCGATGGCCTAAATATGGAATTCAGCAGTTTTAAAATCTCCTCACCCCCAGCCTCATCCTACGTCCAACCCTCCCTCTCATCCCTGCCTCCTTGACATGATACAATCTGTCCATCTTCCTTCCCACCTATCTGCCGCACCCTTCCCACTGACCGATCCCCACCACTCCCTACCTGCATCCAACTATCACCATCCCACCTACCTTCCCCCATACCCACCCCTCCTCTCCTCTATTCCCCAGCTTCCGTCCCCCTCCCTACTTCTGATGAAGGGTCCCAACCCGAAACATCGACTTTCCTGCTCCTCTGATGCTGCCTTGCCTGCTGTGTTCCTCCAGTTCCACACTGTATTGACTCTGACTCCAGCATCTGCAGTCTTGCTATCTCTGAGCAGTTGTCTTTACTGTTTATAATTGAACCTCAAAAAAAAGATGTTATCCAAAGGCATATGAGAATGAAAAGATCACACGTAAATCTTCCTCTTTACTACCTGAAAAAGATCACTTTCCTTTTCAGAAACACGCCATCTTCTTGAACGTGATTTGAGGAAACAAAAAGATTCTCAAGGGAAAAGAAACATTCTACAGAAACATCAAAACATTTGAAACCTTCCCTGCAAAAGGAAACCAAAGATCCAAACTTCCAGTGTGACAATGAACCGAACCTGTGATTTCCCTCCTCAAGCAGCAAACCTTCAACACAGCCAAATCATCAGCCAGTTACAAAGTGAGCAATCTCAGAGGAGATGGCTTGGTGATAAAGGTACTTCACTTACTTAAAAAAAGTGAAGAAAGAATCTAATAGCCAAAGAATGGTTCGAGGAGAATGGTCACACAAAACAGTTCATACCTAAAAGGGTTAACTAATATCATAAGATATATTCTGATGGGCAGAACTTAAGAGACTAAAAACCAAAGGAACTATGGATGCTGGCAATCATAAGCAAAATCAGAAATTGCTGGAGAAATTTGGCAGATCTTCCAGAATCTGTGGAGAGAAAGCAGAATTATTGTTTTGGGTTCAATGACATGAAGTTCTGAAGGAGGGTCATTAGACCCAAAACATTAACTCTGCTTTTTCTCTACAGATGTGGCCAGACCTGCTGAGTTTCTCCAGCAGTTTTCAAATTTGTTTCTGAATATAAGAGGCTGTTGCTGTTGGAGTGAACTAGTGTTCTGGTTCAGTTCAGTTTCGACATTACATATACATAACTAACAGTAATGTGCATTCACTCTTAAGTCTGGCCTGAAGCCTGGGTATGTAACTTATATGTAACGTAATGAGCTATTAAGTACTATGTAATAAACCTAGTCCATTTAATCAAGACCAAGCCGAAGATTTGTGTGTGAGCATCCTTCCCCACTTGACATCATTTAATTTATTCTAATACCAATAAGAAGGATTGGTGACAGTGAACCTACTCAAGGCATCTCAGATGGTTCTAATGGACAAGACCACAACCAATATCACACTGGCAGAGCTTGTATCCAAATAAAAATTCAGTGTTAACTTGGGGAAAAAAGCCACCTGCTTCTGGATTCTTTGAATGACAAGCCACCTACTATAACTTGGGAGAAAAATGATCTGTTCTTTCAGTTTAGATTTCATTGTCTGGGGTTGTTATAGTTCGTTTTGACAACTAAGCTCATTACAAATATTTGGTTGATGTGCAGAAGTTTCTGAAACACCATTATGAGCTGAACTCAATTTGGTAGTTTCAAAAGAGTATAAAAGGGCATACAAAGAAATGAGCGAATGTGTGAAATGTGTTGAGTGTTCAGAATGAGGATGCATCAAAGGGGAAGGCACTGGCATAGTGGTAATGTTACTGGACTAGCAAATCCCATAAGCCAGGCCAATGAGCTGTGGACACAGTTTTAAATCCCACTATAACAGATGGTGAAATTGAATTCAATAAAAATCTAGAACAGAGGGCTGGCCCAATGATGACTACGAAACCATTGTTGATTGTCCCAAACACCCTTCTGGTTTATTAATGTCCGTTAGGGACTGAACTCTGTCATCCTTACCTGCCCTGGTCTATATGTGATTCCAGATTCACAGTAATGTGGTTGACTCTCAGCTGTCCCATGGGCAATTATGTATGGGCAATTAATGCTGGTCTGGCCACTGATGCCCACATTCTGTGAACAAATAAATAAAAATTGACTGGGCTGGGAATTTCCTGTGTTTTGTGGACAGTACATACCTGGACAATTTCCCACATTGCTGGAAAGATGCTGGTGTTAGAGCTGGACTGGAACTGGAGGTACAACTAGTTTTGGAGCACTAGTCTTCAGCAGGAATGCTGGATTGTTGTCAGGGCTTATCCAGTACTTTTAACTGTTTCTTTATATCATGCAAAATGAATTAAATTGAAAGAAAAACTAACAGCTGTGATGCTGAGAACCACAGGAGAAGGCCAAGATGGATCATCCAATTGGCATTTCTGGCTGAAGACGCATGCAAATACTTCAGTTTATCTTTTTGCATTGAAGTGCTGGGCTCCCTCACCTACTGAGGATGGGAATGTTTGTGAAGCCTTATCCTCTATTAATTGCCCACTATTCATGACTGGATGTAGCAGGACTTCAGAGCTTTGATCTGATCTGTTAGCTGTGAAATCACTTATCCTGTCTATTGTATGCTACTTCAGCTGTTTGACATTCAGGTAGTGTTGTTGTAATGTTACAAAGTTGATGCTGCATTAATGCCGGGTGCTTTTCTTGCCACACCCTCCTGCACTCTTCACTGAACCAGGGTTGATCCCTGGCTACAGATAGATAGGCAAGGATGAGATCCATTACATTTCTTCTTTTGTTGATTCCCTCAGCCCCCTGTTACTGTAGCAACTATATCCTTTAAGACTTGGCCAGCTCCTCAGTATTGGTGGCACTGATATAGGTCAATAAGGCTGTGTGCACCTTTGGAATTTGTGGTGCATTGGACCACCCAACGTCAACCAGTCAGTTTAATTCCATTTGTCAGATATGTGGTGGTTTGATACAACTGAATGGCTTGCTAGGTTATTTCAGAGGGTACAGTGAAGTCAGATACAGACTGGACCAAGTAAAGAAAGCAGCTTTTCCTGCCCTAAATGACATGAGTGAAAAATGGGTTTTTATGATGATCAAGAATGATTTTATGGTTATCATTAATGACTCATTTTTAATTCTGGAGTTTTGTAATCATCAAATTTAAATCCAACCTTCTGGCATGGTAGGTAGGATTCAAATCCACGTGCCCAGAGAATTACCCTGATTCTCTGGATTACTTGTCCCCTGATACTATGACTAAATAAAAACCAGAAGAACTGCAGATGCTGTAGATCAGAAGCAAAAGCAGAAATTGCTGGAATAGCTCAGCGGGTCTGGCAGCATCTGTGAAGAAATTAGAGTTAATGTTTCGGGTCGACCCAAAATGTTTTCCCTGATTTCTTTCCACAGATGCTGCCAGATCTGCTGAGCTTCTCCAGTAATTTCTGTTTTTGATACTATCACGATGTCACCAGCTATGTCTGTCTCAATTATGCTCACTAATGTTCTGTGGCCTATAGTATCCACAATTGCCTTTTCACAGAAGGTGATTAGTATGCAGATATGCTGGCTGCTGTTTCCAGTCGTCCTTTTATTAATTGCCAGTTTATCTCATAAAAGTAAAAATTTTGAAAACACTTCCTCACTGGTGCATTTCAGGAGAGACCTTTGCCAGCACTGTGCTCAGCCTGCAGATTTCAGAGTTTGGGCCTCAGCCCACTTGGCACAGGATGCCCAATTTGGCAGAGAAAAATAACTTCCTCTTTGACTCAATAGCATGTGCATGAGGTGATCTCAGTACACATTACAAATTTGAACCTGTAGACTGCACACTGGGCACAAGTTAGATCCTCTGCAGTTTTTCAGATCATTCTTGGTTAATTCACTTTCTTTTAATAAAGCAGACAAATTATTTGGTCCCACATGTCCTTCGAAGCCAGCAGTGTAATCCTGAACTCCTGCCTGAATTTTGGTCCTAAACTAGCATACGGGGCAATTTCTACTTCTTCCATTGTTTCATAGATTCATAGAAGAAGTCCAATTGGCCTATCGTGTTTACACCTGCTCCTCAAATGAGCGACACACTCAGTGCCATTCTCCCACATTTTTCCCATAACCCTGTTCATTCTTCTTTACCAACTAATAGTGTAATTCTGTTCTGAATGCTTGAATAAAGCTGCATGCCCAGACTCTCCAATGCATTCCTGACCTTAACCTGGTGCTGCATGACTAATTTTTTTTTTCTTTGGTGTTGCTATTGCTCCTTTTACCAATTATTTTACATCTCCATCCGCTTGTCCTGTATCATTACAACAGTGGTAAGTTTCTCTCCATCGATTCTGTCCAGAACCTCATGATTTTGAATACGTCTATCAAATCGCCTTTCAGCCTTTTCTCCAAGAAACTGTCTGATTCTCTCTAATCTATCTTCAGAGCCAATGTTATGTTCCTCCCTGAACATTCTTGTAAATGTTCCTGCACTTTCCCCAATGTTTTCACATCCTCCCTAAAGTCTGGTATCCAGATGCATTACTCCAGTTGAGGCCAAACTAGCGACCTATACAAGCTAAGCATAACTTCCACATTTTTATACTCTATATCCCTGTTAATAAAGCTGAGGATACTGTATTAGTTTATTTAATTATTTTATTAATCACAATATTAACCTCTCCTGTAACCTTTAATGACCTTGCATGTCAAGTTAGGGCAGCAATACATGCATATTTCATGCTGAATACTATAATCCATAAGCTGAACATTATTCCTCAGAATACTTGCTTCTCTTCCATATGCTACCTACCATCTGCCCACATTGCTTTTTGCTGTTCTTTTCTTCCTATTTGATTTGAATTTGTTATATCTCCTGGATGGTACCACTCATTACCCCTGCAGCTACAAGTACTGTTGTCTCTCAGTATTATGGTAGTTATGCAAAAGCCTATCCATGAGCGTTTTTTTAAACATTCACTAAGGCGATGTGGGCATCACTGGTTGGACAAGTATTTATTCCCCACCCCTAGTTGCCCTTGAGAAGGAGGTGGTGAGCTGCCTTCTTGAACCGCTGCAGTCCTCCTGCTGTGGGTTGACCCACAATGCTATTAGGGAGGGAATTCCAGGATATTTACCCAGTGACAGCGAAGGAATGGCAATATATTTCAGGATCGTGACTGGCTTGGAAGGGAACTTGCAGGTAGCGGTGCTCCCATATATCTGATATCCTTCGAGATGAAAGTGGTCATGGTTTTGGAAGATACTGTCTGGAGAATCTTTGGCAAATTTCTGCAGTGCATCTGTAAATAGTACTGCTGTTACCACCAATCATCAATGATGTAATGAGCGGATGTTTGTTGATATAATTTCAATCACGTCGTGGATGGTGTCAAACCTCGAGTGTTGTCAAATATGCACCTATCCACACCAGTGGAGAGTATTCCACTATACTCCTCACTTGTGCCTTGTGGATGACGGAAAGGCTTTAGGGGGCGGCGAAGGTGTGTTACTCATCATAGTATTCCTAGCTTTGATCTGCTCTTGTAGCCAGTGTTTATGTGGCAAGTCCAGTTGAGTTTCTGATCAATAGTAACCCCCAGGATGTTGATAGTGGGGATTCAGTGATGGTACATGCTGTTGAATGTCAAGGGGTGATAATTAGATTGTCTCTTATTGGTGATGGTCATAGCCTGGCATTTGTGTGGTGTGAATGTCACTTGCCACTTGTCAGCCCAAGCCTGGATATTGTCCAGATCTTGTTGCATTTGAACATGGACTGCTTCAGTATCTGAGGAGTCACAAATGGTCCTGAACATTGAGCAATCATCAGCGAACATCCCCACTTCCGACCTTATGATGAGGGAAAGTCATTGATGAAGCAGCTAAAGATGGTTGGGCCTTGGATACTACCCTGAGGAACTCCTGCAGAGATGTCCTGGAGCTGAGATAACTGTTTTTTCTTCACAGATGCTGTCAGACCTGCTGAGCTTTTCCAGCAATCTGTGTTTGTTTTGGATCTGATCCACTGGTTATGGGATTGTTTAGCTCTCTCATGTTGCTGCTTATGCTGTTTGACAGCTTCACAGAGTTGACACTTTATTTTTAGGTATGCCTGGTGCCACTCCTGGTATACCCTCCTGCACTCTCAATTGAGCCAGGGTTGATCCCCTGGCTTGATGCTAATGGTCGAGTGAGGGATATGCCAGTTTGCAGATTGTGCTGGAGTACAACTCCAGCTAATTGCCCACAGCACCTCATGGATGCCCAGTCTTGAGTTGTTACATTGGTGCAAAGTCTATCCCTTTTAGCACAGTGCCACACAACACGATGCAGCTTATTCCCAGTTTGAAGGCAGGACATTCAGTCAAATGCAGTCTTGATGTCAAGCGTTGTCACTCTCAGTTGTTCACTGGAATTCACCTTTTTTGTCTATGTTTGAACCAAGGCTGTTTTGAGGTCAGGAGCTGAGTACTCCTGGCATAACTCAAATGGAGCATCAGAGAGCAGCTTAGTGCTGCGTACATTTGCTTGATAGAAAGTGTCAACAACTGTGCTATCACTTTACTGATCATCAAGGTGATTTGGACAAACACAAAGCACGTTGTTACAGCGGACAACACTGAATTATAAGTCTCAAAATCACAGATGTAACTAACCAGATAACTCAATTCAGTCAGAGGAATCACTTAAATGGGTTACCTCTTCAACCCAGACCTTCAAGCTAGGATCTAGCTTGCTCTGTTACCATTAAAAATAGTCAACTATTTGTTCCCAAATCATTTGAAGCTACTACTAGGTGAGATTCATAATATTAACTCAGTTGTCTATTTACAGATACATTAAAATCAACCACTCCTGCTTTCTTTGCCAGAGGCAACCCATTTGTCATTTCCCATTTGGAAATCAGGGCCCAGTATGTCTACAAAGTGACTGGGTTTCCAAGGATGCAGGATATTAAAAAAAAACACAACACTGGAGCACATTTGTATCAATAAAAGTTTTTCATTTGATCAATTTGCAGGTAATTCAAGATCACCATAACCAAATAAAATATGGGACCATGTTTCAACATTTCAATAGTTGACAGAGATGGAGCTCTTTGGACAGCAGAAGGGTTAGCTTGTTGCATTTAGCTTGTAGAAGAGGGAAATCCATGAATCCAGAAAGCATCACCTTGCCTGCAGAGGATGAGGAAGATAAAAAAAAAGGTCTCACCTCAACAATTACGCAAAATTAATGCCAAAGGCTAAATTGAGCAAATGTTTAAATCATGCCCAGATCACATTAAACTAATGGATCCTGACATTTTTTTGTTTAGTTTTGGTTCAGTGTAGTAACGATACATTGAAAACAACATTGAGATCATATAACAGCAATCCAGCAGTATTTGAAAAGTCTAAAAGATTCAAAAATGCACCTAAAAGCTGAACCCGTGTCCTCACCAGGTATATCACAATTTAAGTACTAAGCATTAAACAAAGAACTGTGGATGCTGGAAATCAAACAAACAAAAACAAATAGATTGCTGGGAGAAACTCAGCAGGGAGGACAGAACTGGACTCAAAACATTAACTCTGCTTTCTCCCCACAGATGCCGCCAGTCCTGCCTAGTTTCTCCAGCAATTTCTGTTTGTTTAAGAACGGAGTGCTTTGACTGCGCAGCAGCCACAATGCAGCAGAGGCTGATGATTCATAACTCCAGGGTTTGTCTTAACGTTTTTGGAGATTATGAAAATAAACTGAGATGCATTCATTAAATCAGGAGATTAAAAAAAGGAAGACTCACGATATATTGTTTTTATTTGTAAATTTGGGTTCTAACATTGAGAAAACTACGTGCAGCTTTAAGTTTAATTTGTATATCTATAATGTGTATTAAGGAGAGGAGGTTGGTTAGCTCAGTTGGCTGGTGTGAGATGCAGTGACACAAACAGCATTGGTTCAAATCCTATACTGATTAAGGTTACTATGGAAGGACCTTCTTAACCTCTCCCTTGGCCTGAGGTATGGTGACTCTCTGGTTAAACCAGCACCTTTCATGAGGGGCAGCATATGGACTGTGGCAACTTTACCTTCAAAGGGAGACTTAGTTTTAGCTTCACTTTAGATTTGTTCTGCGAGTAGTACCAGGGAATGTGAGGTGCGTTGATAAATACATTTTTAATGATAGTTGTTAAAATCATTTTTAATAATGTATAATTCAGTGTATTAGGTAAAAAGCTGGAGAGAGAAAACAACCAGGCCAGACAATCTGAGCAGATTCAGTCAAAGCAAACAAAAAAAAAAGTGCCTTTAATTTAGTCTCCAAAAATTCTGGGCTGGGGAAAACAAAAAAGTGTCCCAAGTGGCTCAGAAGAAAATCCCAAAAGGCAGAAAACTTATCTTTTCCATCCCATCAGCTCCCATGTGTTTGCTCTGGAAGTGCTTAGAATTCACTAAGAAGAAAGCTCTACAAACCAGTTACAGCCATGCCAACTGAAGGGAGAATTTTAAAGCAGAAACAGTGTAATCATTAATTGAGGTTTCAGTATTCATAAGGTCGCTAAGAAGAGTTGAATCTTTATTTATACTACAAACATGGAATATATGAGCAGGAGTGGATCATTTGGCCCATCAAGCCCTCTCCATCATGCAATATGCTTGATCATCCAACTCAGTACCTTGTTCCTGCTTTCCTTTTAATTCATTCACGGGATGAGGGCATCGCTGGCTGGGCAGCATTTATTGCCCATCCCTAATTGCCCAGAGGGCAGTTAAGAGTCAACCACTTTGCTGTGGGTCTAGAGTCACACATAGACCAGACCAGGTAAGGATGGCAGTTTCCTTCCCTAAAGGACATTAGTGAACCAGATGGGTTTTTCCAACAATCGACAAGGGATTCACAGTCATCATTAGACTCTTAATTCCATATATTTACTGAATTCAAATTCCACCATCTGCCATGGTGGGATTCAAACCCAGGTCCCCAGAACATTCTGGGTCTCTGGATTAACAGTCCAGCGATAATACCATTAGGCCATCGCCTCCCCTCTTTCTCTCCATAAACGTTGATCCTTTCAGCCATCAAAACTATACCCAACTCAACCCTGAAAACATTTAATGTTTTGGCCTCAATCACTTTCTGAGGTAGCGAATTCCACAGGTTCACAGATCCTGGGTGACAAAACTCCTCATTTCAGTCCTATATAGCCTACCCCATATCCTTAGACTGTGATCCCTGATTCTGGTCTCCCTGGTCATTGGGAACATCTTTCCTGCATTTACCTTGTCTTGCCCTGTTAGAATTTTATAGGTTTGAGATTCTTTCCCCATCATTCTTCTAATCTCCAGTGAATACCAACCCAACTGATTCAGCCTCTCTTCAAAAAGGTGAGTCCTGTCATCCCAGGAAATCGGTCTGGTGAACTTTTGTTGCATTCCTTCCATGGCCCAGACATCCCTCCTCAGATAAGGTGACCAAAACTACACACAATTTTCCAGGTACGGTCTGACCAAGGCCTTGTACAACTGTAGCAAGTTATTCTCACTCCTGTATTCAAATCCTCTCACTAATGAAACTGCAACATACTATTTGCCATCTTCATAGGCTTACTTTCAAAACATTGGTGTGCAAGAACACTTAGGGCTCATTGCATCTCCCCCTTTCCTAATCAATCACCATTCAGATAGAAATCTGCCTTCCTGTTTTTGCTCGCATTTATCCAATTATACTTCACCTGCATTACAAATGCAGCAGGTAGATTTCAGTTACGCTGTGCATTTCTGAAAGAGCCATGATTGTAATCTCCTACCAGGAGAAGTGCGGAGCTATTTCTTAACAGAAAAACACTGGAGGGGAATGGAGGAAGGGCGTCTCTCGTGGACCGGAGGTCAGCATGGGGAGGCAAGGCCAAGTTTTGAACCCCGGCGTGGTCTGGAGACTTGGCCTGACGCTGTCTAGAGGCTAGGTGCTGACACGGACTGGGGCAAAAAGTACTTTAAATATAGTGTACTTTTCTTCCCTCTTTATTCTTGTGTTGGACTTTTATTATTTTTTCAATTTTGTACCAAATACTTAAGTGTCTGTACTTAGGTATCTTGTACCTAAGATGGCGCCATAGACAGCAACATTGCAAACTTTCGCTGTACTCATTTGAGTGTACCTGACAACAACACTAATTCAATTCAAAACAAAATGGAGCCAACTGGCCCTCGGGCTGATTTTCCGAGGAGTGGCAATCAATCAGTCACAGTCAGTCAATCTTTCCAAGTGTACTTGTAGTATGAAGAAACTGCAATGTTGTGTTTTTTTTTTAATGAATTAATTAGTCTAATATTCACTAAATGATTACTTCTGTTGCTGATAGCAGAATGTACTGTGTTGGATTTAGCAATGAAAAAAATCTAGAGAATACAAATAATTCCATGAATCTCAGAAGTAACATAAAAACAAGTTGAAACTACTAGTGACTCAGTACCTCGTAACTGAGTTTGCTGGAGGATGTAGGAACAGGACAAAGTACCACAGTTTATCTGCAAACAAATACCCACATGCTAGCGTGCATCTCAAACGCCCATACAATCAACTGTTTATGAAGCTTTAAAGCCTGATTTCAATTCAAAGTATTAGGTATTGCCTAAAGCAGTCAGGCAGTGACATTATCTCGGAGTGTAGGGCCCAAATCTCATCATGAGACACTAGCACTGACTCCACCTGAGGCCAGAGGGAAGAGATCACGGTCAATGGGTAGAATGCAAACTGGTGGCAATGTTGAGCCACTGCTGAGGACTCAAATGATTCTGGAATGTTTGAGAAGGAATAAACGCAGCACAGTCAGAAAAGTGTGCTCAGATGGGAGGTCTGGGACAGAGAAGACGCAAGCTTGCTTTGCGGGCCAAGAGAACCTGCCAGTTGACAGAATCCCACTGGTTGACAGTTCTGTGAGCAGTCTCAAAACTCCTCAGGTCTTGACTGGGTCTGCAGTTAAAACTGCATGCACATCTGATGGCATCAACAAACATATCAATTCGGCCATTCAGCCTATAGCATGAGAACTAGGAGTGGACAATTCAGCCCCGTGAGCCTGCTCCGCCATTCAATACGATAATGGCTGATCTCAATTTGACCTCAACTCCAGTTTCCTGCCTGCTCCAGTAACATACAGAATCCTGCAGAGTAGAAAACGTGGTGGTTGGGGTGTGGGAGGTATTATGTTTAAAATCTTACTACTACCCTTGGGACTTTACAGATGAGATGCTCCTTCCTGTTCTGGAGACAGTGAATGTGAACCAACCAAGCTTCATGATCATCACAGTAGTCACTGAACATAACATGAGATTGCCAAGGTGCATTTAACCAAATAAAAATGTGTTTACACAAGGAAAGATTGATGAAATCTCATGATAAACAGGAAAAGCAAACTCAACTTTTAAGAGACTGAATTCAAGTCCCACACCCATCTTCATTCTTTAAATTTATTACTAAACTGATGAGGTTTGAAGCATTTTCTTTTGACGAATTTCTGCACATTTACCAATTGTAATTTCTCCACTACTGTCTGAGATAGTCAGACACAAGATAACAAAAGCTCAGGCATTTTTCCAGCTGTGTAATTGGACTAAGGACAACTCAAGTCTTTGATCATGATCTGCTTGCAGTCCCTCTTTATTCATTTCTCTCTGGGTTCAAAAAGCTCAAATCAGTGAACACTTCAGCTAAAAAAGGCTAGGTAATTGCTGAAGCTACATGATTTCTTGGGAATTCGTTTTGACCCGCTGCTAAAATAAATGAGTTTCAGAAACTTAAAAGAAAGTCATCTTCATAGAACTGAAAACAAAAGAACCTATTCACCTCAACTTTAGAATCGAAGTTCCCCATAACAATTATAAACATTACAGTCACAATAAATGTTACTAGACCTGTTGAGTAGAACATTTCCTAGGGAACATTTTCCTGTCTTTATTCCTTTTTCCTGGCTGGCAGTGCTTGCCAGCCTTATGCCAGCCCTAAAGTTGGGAATGATGGGGATACTAATTATGAAAATGGGAATCTTTCTTCTCAGCATATGTGCAGGCCATGAAAAAAAAATGACACTGGCCTTGATTTTCACTCTTGAGGCAAGTATGCAGAGGTTGGGATTTTTTTTAAAACCCTAGGAGTTCTGAACATTGATTCTGGACCCTTGAAGTATAAGGGCATCAGATCAACCAAAAGGCAAGGAAGCCTCCGCAATGCCATGTACTTACCTCCCCCGACCCCCATTTATAGGTAGGATCCACAGATGAAGCCAAATCCAACAGGGGCGTATGGTTTCCGAGCCAAGTTCTCCGGGGTGTGAGGTCCATTTCCCACACTATGCAACTTGAAAAGACATGAATCTTTATGAATGGTGGATGATATCAATGGAGACATTAGATAGTCAAATTAAATACCTTGCTGTTTAAAGTTTTGAAAAAGCCCCACAAGCGATATCTCTGATTTGTAAATAAGTGTTTACATGTTCAATAGCTATTCATTAGCATAACCCAAAAGAGTAACAGTATAGTACAATTGCTGCTCAACTGCTTCTATTACCTGGCACCATGGGACATGAAGTTCATAATATTTCAACTTCTTGATGCAACACTAAGCGAATGCTACAATTCTGTCAAAGGCTTAAGTACATGATGAGATTTAAATACACTGTGAGCATTTACTAATGAGTATATTTTCATATATAGTGATATCTGTACTACATTCATTTTAGATCATAGAATCCCTACAGTGTGGAAACAGGGACTTCGGCCCAATGAGTCCACACCAAATCTCAGAGCATCCCTCCCAGACACATCTCCCTATAACCCACCTAATAGACACATCCCTTTCCTTGAACCAGATTCTGTTTCATTCCCTCATGGATCCTGACGATTTTGCATGATGGATAACTGGTGGTCTACATGGAGGGTGCAAAGGATTTAAAAAAAAAAGGGAAGTGGGGGTGGGGATGGAATGGGTTTGCAATGAGCTAGAATGTAGACCATAAAAGGACCAGTGATATATGAATGGGGTGTCCTAAATGGCTTTTAAAAAGAAATTCTCTCATCCTTATCCAGCCTGGCCTACGAGTGTTATAGACCCCTATATGGTGACTGACTCTTGTCTGACCTTCCAAAAGTGGCCCTAACAAATCACTAAATTCCAGGGCAATTAGGAGTGGTGAAAAAATGCCAGCCCAGCCAGACCTGCCCACAAGCTACAGGTGAGTGATAAAATAAAAGATTAATGAAGGAATTTAATGGTCTGATTAGTAAGTTCACAGATGCCATGAAGATTGGTGGGGTTGCTGATAGTGCTGACGCTTGTGAAAGGATACTACAGAATATCGAAAGATTGGGAACTTGGGCACAGAAATGGCAGATTGAGTTTAATCCAGACAAATGCAAGGTGATGCATTTTGGAGGATCAAATTTAGGTGTGAATTATACCGTAAATGGCAGAACCCTTAGGAACATTAACATACAGACGGATCTGGGCGTGCAGGTCCACAGTTCTCTAAAAGTAGCAACACAGGTGGCCAAGGTGATTGAGAAGGCATATGACTTGCTTGTCTTCATCAGCCAGGCATGGAGTACAAGAGATGGCAAACCATGTTGCAGCTATATAAAACTCTTAATACTCCAAATGCGGCCTAACATGTGCAGTTTTGGTCGCCCCACTACCGGAAGGATGCGGAAGCTTTGGAGACAGTGCAGATAAAGTTGTACCAGGATATTGATCCATCTCGAGGGCATTGGCTATGGGGAAAGATTAAAAAGACTAGGATTGTTTTCAGTGGAAAAGACAGCAGCTGAGAGGAGATAGTAGGAACTGCAGATGCTGGAGAATCCGAGATAACAAGGTGTAGAGCTGGATGAACACAGCAGCATCATAGGAGCAGGAAGGCTGACGTTTCGGGCCTAGACCTTTCATCAGAAATGGGGGAGGGGAAGGGGGTTCTGAAATAAATAGGGAGAGGGGGGAGACGGATAGAAGATGGATAGAGGAGAAGATAGGTGGAGAGGAGACAGGCAGGTCAAAGAGGCGGGGATGGAGCCAGTAAAGGTGAGTGTAGGTGGGGAGGTAGGGAGGAGATAGGTCAGTCCAGGGAGGATGGACAGGTCAAGGGGGCGGGATGAGGTTAGTAGGTAGGAGATGGGGGTGGGGCTTGAGGTGGGAGGAAGGACAGGTTAGGGAGGCAGGGACAAGCTGGACTGGTTTTGGGATGCAGTAGGGGGAGGGGAGATTTTGAAGCTTGTGAAATCCACATTGATACCATTGGGCTGCAGGATTCCCAAGCAGAATAGGAGTTGCTGTTTCTGCAACCTTTGGGTGGCATTGATGTGGCACTGCAGGAGGCCCAGGATGGACATGTCGTCTGAGGAATGGGAGGGGGAGTTGAAATGGTTCGCGACTGGGAGGTGCAGTTGTTTATTGCGAACCGAGCGTAGGTGTTCTGCAAAGCGGTCCCCAAGCCGCCGCTTGGTTTCCCCGATGTAGAGGAGGCCACAACGGGTACAGCTGATTCAGTATACTACATTAGCAGATGTGCAGGTGAACATCTGCTTGATGTGGAAAGTCTTCTTGGGGCCTGGGATGGGGGTGAGGGAGGAGGTGTGGGGGCAGGTGTAGCACTTCCTGCGGTTGCAGGGAAAAGTGCCGGGTGTGGTGGGGCTGGAGGGAAGTGTGGAGCTGACTTAGAGGTCTACAAAATTATGAGGCATAGATTGTGCAGATAGTCAGAGGCTTTCTTCCCAGGGTTGAAGCTTCAATTACAACGGGGTGAGGTGGGGTACAGGTTCAAGGTGAGAGGGCAAAAGTTTAAAGGGAGATGTGAAAGAAAGCTTTTCCACACAGTGGTAGGAGTCTGGAATGCACTGCCAGAGGTGCTGGTAAGAAGCAGGCACATTGGCGACATTTAAGAGATATCTGGATGGTTACACGAATAGGGAGGGAATAGAGGGATGCAGACCAAATAAGAGGTTTGTTTTTTCAGTTTAGGCAGGGCACAACGATTGGCACAGGGCTGGAGGGAGTGTTCCTGTGCCGTACTTCTTATAGCAAAAACTGGAATACCTTCCTGTATGCAAACACACTAAAAAAGTTAACAATTGTCAGTTCTTATTGTTTTGGAAACTGCAGTTGTGTCCAAAACTTACTTTTAGTAATAACTCACTGAAGCACATTACCTGCCCATTGTGAAGCCTGCACTATTATTGCTCAAAAGTCCATCTCCTCAGCCAGAATACCACCCTAAATGAATTTTAAAAGAATTGTCCCAGGGCTATGGCATTTCCAAAAACCTCTTTTTGATTCCAATATAAATAATCAGTCCAATAGTGCAGGTCCTCAGGACGTTAAAAGATATTGAAGTTGGAGAACAAAGCACTGCTCATCTAAAATGAGATGGCATATACACAAGGTAAGAGCCACTCCAGCCAGGCCAATACCAACATGGAGATAAGCAGGCAGTTGTTTCACTTTCTGGCAGCAGGCAGTCCTGTGTTGCAATGACCCATCAAGCTCAAATTAAACAATTTATAGCCTGTGTGTGGCTGAATTACTTGAAGCCACTTTCCATTGCAGCCATGTCGTAAAGAGCTTCTCTCACTTGGTTAACAATCACAAATCTGGACACTTCTGCTCGAGTTGTAAAGTACTTAAAATAATCACCTAAAAAGCAGCTGGCAAGAATTTCAGCGTGTATTTTAGACAGGCAATACTTCATTGCTAGAGCAAGAAGTCTGCGTAAATATCCTAACTTTTTGCACTCAATTATTGTGATTCACTTGACTATAGACTCACTAATGTAACTTATTGATTTAAACTTGGGTTAGCCTGCAACGAATGATAAGGCTTGCTAATTGTGCATGTGTGTGTTAGTGTCTGAAAAGGATAGATTATCTACAGCAGATTAATATTTTTTCAAGCAATAGAACCAGATATTAACATGCTTTGCACTGCTCCTGTAAAACTCACGTCACTTGTCAGCCTTTAAACTAGATTTGTGGTTGGGAATTCCATTATTAGGCATTATAGAAGTTAGGCAGAAGTTAGGCTTCTCCTGGGCCTGTCTGCTTAGGAAGATGAGATAGTAGGAACTGCAGATGCTGGAGAATCCGAGACAACAAGGTGCAGGGCTGGATGAACACAGCAGGCCAAGCAGCATCATAGGAGCAGAGAGGTCGACGTTTCGGGCCTAGACCCTTCATCAGAAAAGGGGGAGGGGAAGGGGTTTCTGAAATAAATAGGGAGAGAGTGGGAGGCGGATAGAAGAGGGATAGAGGAGAGGATAGGTGGAGAGGAAACAAACAGGTCGAAGAGGCGGGGTTGGAGCCAGTAAAGGTGAGTGTAGGTAGGGAGTTAGGTAGGGAGTTAGGAAGGGGATAGGTCAGTCCAGGGAGGACGGACAGGTCTCCCCTCCCCCTACCGCATCCCAAAACCAGTCCAGCTCGTCCCTGCCTCCCTAACCTGTTCTTCCTCCCACCTATTCCCTCCTCCCACCTCAAGCCGCACCTCCATCTCCTACCGACCAACCTCATCCCGCCCCCTTGACCTGTCCGTCCTCCCTGGACTGACCTATCCCCTTCCTAACTCCCTACCTACACTCACCTTTACTGGCTCCAACCCCGCCTCTTCGACCTGTTTGTTTCCTCTCCACCTATCCTCTCCTCTATCCCTCTTCTATCTGCCTCCCACTCTCTCCCTATTTATTTCAGAACACCCTTCCCCTCCCCCTTTTCTGATGAAGGGTCTAGGCCCGAAACGTCAGCCTCTCTGCTCCTATGATGTTGCTTGGCTTGCTGTGTTCATCCAGCCCTGCACCTTGTTGCTTAGGAAGATGGATGGCCTTGCAGCTGGGATACCAAACCAAGCATCATTTCCCACTGCTCCTGGGGCCCAGTGATGGGAGCTGACAGGAACACAACAGATAAGGAAACCAGTTTCTCATGCTCACCAGCATTTACACTCTGCAGCTGGAAGGGTAGTAGTTCCAGCACAGGCCAAGGAAAAAAGGTTAAGGAGGTGGAAGGCAGGAGAATTTGGAGGGACCCAGTGCCCAAATTTACCTCCTTTCAGGGAAAAAGTCCAGCTTCACACATCCAGCTTTATTTAAACAGTATTGAGAAAGATTTGTGTAGTGACATCATAGCATTGACTAAAAACTGGTTAACTTCCTGATGGGAGTAAGCATAGTGAAAAACTGCTCAAGATTTAGATTTAGATTTTTATTGTCACATGCACAGGAATACATGAGTACAGTGGAAAGAGTACAAAGTCACCCTTCTCCAGTGCCATCTTAATATATAAAAGACAAAAGCTGAAATAAAGAAACAGCCAAAAAG